ATTTCAGGGCTGTTCGGAACCTGTTACTCTTGTTAGTTATTTTATACCATTTAATGTAATGGAGAAATGCTCCATCATAAAGTGTTTAAAATATCTATAAAAGGTTCACTGTTTAGGAAAAACTTTTTTAAGCTTCATTTCCTCATTTTTTTTCTTTTTTTTTTCTGATTTATTTCTTCCTTCTCTTTCATCTTGGTATTTACAGGGGAGGTGATATTCCTCCTCCTCCAAATCACATCCTTCCAAACAAAAGCAAAGAAAGCTCCAAGCTTACCTATATCTCATCAATCAGAACAGCACTTCCCTTTCCCACCTCCAGTTACCTGTTGGAATCAGAAAACTGTCCTGGCTTGCCACTCTCTGTGTTTCCCTGACATATTTTTCTGAAGCTGTGGAAAGAGCTATTCTTCCGCTTTGGGGAGGAGCATCACACAAAAATACAGGATTAATTTAATCTAAATTAATTTAAAAAGAGAGCAATCTTCCTCTTATCATTTCCCCACTTCTCTTTTCTCACTTCCCCTTTCTCTCGGCTCACCATCTTTCCCTCCTTCCCCACACTAATAGCTTTTTCTGTTATGAATACACCATATCAGCTAGAGTAATAAGAGCCAAAGGGGCTGAATCGTGAAAACAAAACAAAGTTAGAGTCAATATACGTTACACCCTAATTATTGAGAAATATGAATTGAAAACAAGCTCAGTGCTAAATTCCAGGAAGATGCTATATTTTGGATTTACTAACCATTTTATATTTTCATATTTGCCGATTACTAAAGCTTCAGTCATAGTCTTCCTCTTCCTATTGCAAGAAAGTAAATGCTGACTCGTATTATTTGTGTCAAATGCCACCGGAAATGGCATCCTCTCCCCAGACCTTGGCTCACAAATGTAGCAGCGCCCAGAGGTGAACTTAACTGCCTTGCAGCCCAGGCTCTCTGGACTCTTCGATCTGGTAATCTGATCCACAGCCAAGAAAGGAGTCTGTCTAGGGACGAGATCTAGAATCAACTGAGAGGTACATTTTTAATCACTGGTTACTTTAATGATTAAGTACTTTCCATTTTATTTTAAGCATTAATTTTGCATTTCTGACCAGCCTTTCTTGGCATCCTCATTTCTTGGGCACTTACTGTAGGAAGGAATCACCACCCTAGCCCACTCCACCCCACCTCACTTAACAGCCTGAAGAGACAACCGTTATTTCATGAGAAGGATTGATAAACTACTAAATCTCTAAAGTACCGTGGAAAGAAAAAGTAGGTTGTGAACAAGAAAGGATGCGAAACATCTGTTGTATGTACAATCTTGTATGTTGTGGTTGACCACAAAGGCTTGGCATCAGTTTTGACTCCCAGCTTTGCTTTTTATAAAATGGATGACCTCGAGCAGATGACTCAATCTGCCAAACTTAATTTTCGAATGTGTAAAATGGAGAAAGAAAAAAAAATGAACCAATTTCATAGCATTCTTAAGGGGAATAAATAAGTAAGCAGGTGAAATGTGTAACGTGCTGTTGGAGAGGGTACTAAATAACATTACCGAATAACCAGTTAAATTCGTGTTACTAAATTAAAAATTTCGTTTAACTGGAAAACTTCCTTAACTACTAAATCCCATTCCCACAAAATGCTGAGGTGGCTCGAAATAACAATAATTAACATTTGTATAGTTTATGGAGCATTTCCTTTGATTTCCCAATTCACTCTAGGATAGGCAGTACTGAGCTGTTGACTTATTTTTGTTCCTGACGGATTAGAGAGAAGCTGAGAGCTCTGCGGGATATGACAATACAAAGAGAAGCTCACAGGTCCAAACTTAGAGCTGAAGCAAGGAAAGCAGGAGTTGGGAAAAGCCTGGTGTCAGAAGTTAGTTCGTGCGTCATTTTCCGAGCATGGAATCTTGTTCGGTCAGCTTGCTCACCTCATGGACCTTGTCCCTTCTCCTGGTCCCAGACCTAGGGTTTAAAACTGGGGAAATCCTCCATCCCACTGATAACATTAGAGCAGTGGGAATCCAGATCTTTTAGATCCCTCTGAGAAACAGTGTAGATGAGAAACAAGGCTGAGACTGGCCCTTAGAATCCCAATTTTAAATTAAAAAACTCTCCCCTCCCACAGAAACACTACTGCACTTAGTATTCAGGTATTACATTGTTAACAACAATGATAAAATAATATCCATTTTAGAAGCTCTCTTGTGTCATCTCCTTAGAGGAACATAGGGATCATCTCTCCCATTTAAGGATGAAAACAGGTGAAATGAGCACTGGGGGTGACAGAAACTCCAGCCTGCTGATTCAGCTTAATGTTTGCTGGTTAAATGGGCTTTTGTGGCCATTCTCGGAGACAGAATTTTCAGAATCCAACCTGTTCATCAGTTGAAAGCAATTTAGTCATTATTAGCTCTCCATTGCCCTTCCTTTTCAACCACGGAGACTTTTTATTTCCACCATTGGTTAGAATCTAGAGTAGTCAGCATAAATATAAAAATTTTGAAACACGAATATAATTTAGTGTAGCACTGAGTTTTCCATTTACACATTAATAGAAATTAGCTTAGTATGATGCAAATTGACCTAAGTTGACTTCATACCTTCTCTCTTTTCTCAAGAAAAATTTAAAGCTGTGCACAAAACATTGTTTTGTTTTTGAACAGAGAATAAAAAGGAAAACAACATGCAAATATTTTTTCTAGATAAGACTATTTTTTTTCCTCTTAATTTCAACAGATATTTATAGCTAAATTTAAAAGCTCAGACTCTGGAACCATATTTCCTCCTAAAGGAACAACAACAACAAAAAGTCTTAAACGTACCTAATCAATCAGAAGATTCACTGTCAGTAACAGACTGCTTCTGCCTTCTCCCGCTGAACGACCTTGGGCTATTTACATAACCTCTTCCAAGCCTCAGTTTATTCATCCACAAAATTAAGATAATAATAGTTCCTACCTCATTATATTGGGAGAAGAGACTAGGCCTGGCACAGAGTAAATGTTCAATGAATGCTATTATGCATAAAATACTGGGCTGTGAGGAGTACAAGGATGGGTGAAATCCACTTTTGCCACTCAGAACTGGTATATACTAGGGTAGAAAGAGACTTGGGCAGTTAATTATAGTACAAAACAGAACCACGTAATAAATAGAGGCATCTGCTAGATGAAGGAGAGATTTTTCTGTCTAGGAAAATAGAGAAGGCTCGCAGACAGAATTGCATTTCAACTGGGTTTTAAGGAACCGAATTTCAGTAGAGGAAAGGATTAGGGAACTTTCAATGCTGAGTTGCAGTGCAAACATAAGAGGTGAGAAAAAGCCCTCTGGATATATACAAGCTCTATAGTTCACCCACAGGCTTTGGGGAGATGCATAAAAGGAAAGATCATAGCTGAGGTTAAAGAACAAAGTTTATAAATGCAAAACATTGGAGTTATGCTAGCATATCAAATGAAAGTGAAGATATGAAATTTGAAAACCTAGACGATAAAATTTTATGTGAGAAAACATAAAGTAAAAACAATACCATTTTAGAAAGTGTTTCAGAGTCAAAAATTTTCTTAAAGATTAAGAATAATTTATAGAAAGCAAAAAAGTTAACCGTAAAATCTAAAGCAAAAGTGAAATTGGTCACTGCGCTCAGCTTCCTAAAATATATTGCAACATCTTCCTCTCTAAAGTATATTTTCAAGAATTATATCTTAATTTTTATTGCCAAGAAATAGTTGAACTGTTCTATATCCAAGCTATCATTCGAGGATTTTGATGTTTTCAGAATAATGGAAACAGCCATAGTCGTGAAAAATAAAAATGACTTGATCCAAGCGTTTCAGAAGCAGAGTTTATTTTCACCTCATCACCAGCCAATGCTCTCTGAAAATGCACAGCAAGAATATGCTGCCATCATTCCCACTGAGGACCAATATTTACCTTTAGGAAGATCGTTCAAAGGTCACAAGATTATCTTAGGAATTCAGCCACAATTCGATGGGAAGATAAAAGGGCATCTAGAGAATTTAGAAGTGATAAGAGGCCCACAGAGACTAAATTACTCCTCCCCGCTCCACCCGCCCCACCCCGGAACTTTTTCCTACTCACCTGAATATGTCTGGAACTCTGAAGACAAGTTTGGGCTAGCTAAATTTATTGAGCACTTAAAAATGTCCCAGACCTCACGCTAACGACTTTTCGTATGTTCATTTAATCTTTACTTCTTAAGAAATCTATAGTGTTATTCTGAAGTGCAGAGGGATTACTTAACCTGCCCAAGGTCTCAGAGGCTAGTAAATAGTGGAAAAGGATATAAACCCAGGGGGTTGACTCCAGGGCCCACCCTCTCAGCCACAGTGCTTTAATACCTCAATTCGATCATCTGCATACAAATGGTAATTGGCAAGGGGACCATATAATTTGTTTGCATCTAAACTGGAATGTGGGGGAAGCACTATTAATTATGCTGAGAAAATAAGGGTGAACCATGTGACCATCTTATTGACTGACCCCATGAGCGTGGATGAATTTACCGAGGGAAAGAATGTTGAAGAAAAGAAGAAAGGAGCCGATCAGTGGGCCTTGAGAAAGACTAACTTTTGGGAAATTGCCAGAGAAGGAGAAACTCACAAAGGATACTAGGGGAGGTGAGGCAGGCGACGGAAGGTGTCAGACGCCCCAGCTGTTTTTCAGAGGGGTGTGGTCAGCGATGTCCCTGCCCCCAGAGCTGGGAATGCAATAAGGACCATGAAATGGCCATTGAAAGGAACAACAAGGAAATCACTGGTGATTTACTGACAAACATTTCTTCAGTTTGATGGAGTTGGAAGCCAAAGTAAAGTAAAAAAGGAGTGAGTGGGAGGTGAGGACCCAGAGACAGTCAGAGCAAACAAGTCTTTTTAAGAAGTGGCCTTGAAGGGGAGGCAAAAGATAGGACTGTCCTGGAGGTGGAGTCCAAGAAGTTTCCTTTCTTTTTTTAAAAAAGAAACTAGAATGTGTTTGCATGCTTAAGGAGCCAGCCAGAGGAGCCTGAAGAAGGTGGACTGCATAATCATCCCTTCTCTGGGAGGACATCCTGGAGCAAAAGTCCTGAGGCGATAGGAAGACGAGCCACCTTCACAACGAGGAGGTACAGCTCTGCCATTGTGGGAGAGAAGAAAGGGGAACTTCGGGTTTGAGGATTTGAGGGAGGGAACTAAGCAAGGTGCTTGCTGTCTGTAGACTTGGCTTTTCTCTAGAGCCACCTCAGGGAGGGGTTGCCGTGGCAGAGGGTTAAAGGTGCCTGATGAACGGCAGGCCCTGTATTAGGCCCCGGATAGACTTCAATAGGCTCTCTTTTCATCTTCACTGTTATTCAGTGATGTAAGTGATATTGTCCCTTTATGACCCAAGAGGAAACCGGCTCAGAATGTTGGACAGCCAACCCAAGAGCACACAGCTGTTCAGGGCCAGAATCCTAGTCTGAATTCAGTCTCCTGGAAGTGAAAGCCAGGTCACTGCTTTCTGGTATCTTTTCATTGGTGTTAGAGAGTAATAGGAAATTAGCAAATGTACTTTAAATAATGGTTCGAGACCATAATATGGAAGTTTGTCATAGTCATTACATGATTGAAATCATATTTTGTTTATGTGAATTGATTTGATTTTTTACTTTAAGATAGCCTTGTGTAAAAGGTTTTCTTTTTTAAAAAAAAGGGGGCTATTTGAATAAAGGTCCCATAGTTTATTTTTTGTTTTTATAAGAGAAGTTACTTATATACCAGGTATTCTGAACCCCCACCTCATTCATAAAGGATGCCGTTCTTTCTGCATTTCTTTCTATAGTTCATAGGAAATTTTGTTAGATTATTACTATGGGAAAAATATAGTGACTTAAGGATTTCTAAACTTGATAATTTTTAGACTCTTAAAGTGTGTGAAATTCTTGTATTGATATTTTATTCCAAAAGAGTCACAGATTTAAGATGGTGGCCCAGAGGGATGCTACAGACACAAATTGGATTCCTGCCTCCACAAGGAAAACCTGTGGTTAAGTGGAGCCCCGTTTGAAGATCACAAGTGCTGTTTCAATTTTCTATTTATGTCAGTGTATCTGAGGTTCTACACGTGGTATGTGAGGACTAAGTGAATAGCCAAGTTAGAAATATGAGCCACACGTTGGGGTAAGGTTGAGTGACTTAGGGGTGGGGTAGAAGAATCATGATAGTTGTTGGAGGTGTGAGTCAGATTTGCAGAATGACATCTGTCACAGCCCCAGATAGGCACAGGTGTTCTCTAAATTTTTACTGAATTACTTAATGGGCTGCGAAGCTGAGGCCTGTTTTGGAGGTGAGGTTATTCGAGATGGGAATTGGAATTGGTTTCTCCGTTGGCTTTTTGGAAATAATTTTTGTTTCATTATTTACCATGTACTTTCATGTTTGTTTGTTTGTTTGTTTTTAAAATTTTGCTCCTAAAACCACTTTTTAGAATAGTAGGCCTGCATTATTTTCCCCATTTTCAGGTTATGTACAGGAGTGAATGTTAACTGAATTGACTAAAATCATCTCCCATCCACAGGCCATTCATTAAGCTTTCCCAAAGAGAAGTTTGAATTGTTCGCTTTTGTTTTTTCTTTGAAAACTTTACATGAAACGCAGTTTAATTTTTGACAAGTTTAAATTCCACTTAGAAAACTAAGCAAATGCCAAGACATAGATAGCTAAGTTGTAGAGTTAAGTTCATGAAAAATAATTATTTTCTTATTTGTACCATCTATTGTGTTAAAATTTAAGGGGATCTTGTAAAGTTCAAAGTATTGATTTGATCACCAAAAATGCAGTTACAAGGAAATGAACTATTTATATTCTCAGTATAATGTCACATCATTAAGATGGTTAGTCGTATGCAAGGAACTTCTAAACTAGTTACAAGTACTCCCTACAAGTAATCGAAACAACATCTAGTTGTTAGTGATTACTTCTGATTTAAGGCTTCTCTGCAAGGTCTCTGGAGCAACTGGCCTATTAAATGTGTCACTCTTCTTGTAACTAAAGATCAATAAGAAAAGAAAAAAAGATTAGCCTAATTTCTACAACACTTCGATTAATGAAAAACAAATGCTATGTGTTTGGTTTGTGGTAGTTATAAAGCAGTAGTAGTCAATGATTTATAAGTCATGGCTTATGAAACTATTAAAAAATTAATTATCCCTGAACAGAAATCTAAGTAATTTATTATAGTAGTAGCCATTATTAATGCATATTTCTGACAGAGCTTTAGCCAAAAGCCAAATTTTACATTGCAAACAGAAAAACATGGCACTTATAATTACGATTTGAGGAATCATCATGCAACTCTTTTCAAAAACTGGTTTTCATTTGATGTTGGAATCACAGATTGCAATGATCGTCGTATAACCTTCTCTCTCCCCCTTGGCCTTCCCTTACAGGCTTTGGTGCTTCATTTACATACATCAATTCTAGCTGCTAACTCTTCCTTTGATATTTTTACATGTCCACTTCCACAGTTGTCCTCTTGAGAAAAGAGACTGCATTTTTATTCCTACTCCTTCCACCAAGCACCATATCTGGTTCTCAGAGATCTTGAATGAATGAATGAATGAGTGAATGAATGAATGAGGCAATCTATCTATAAAACAGCTACCAAAACTAATAAGTGAGTTTAGCAATTTAGAAGCAAAGAAAGAAGCCTAGGCTAAAAAGACCATTGATCTGTTTTCAAACCTCTTTTTTGTTTCAGTTTTATAGAGAAAAAGAGCTTCGAAAATAGTTACTGACCCTTTTTTTAAGATGAGAGAAGATTTAGCTCTCCCAATTATTCTCTGCTTCCTGCCTTAAAAAAATCCTCCCCCATTTTTTTTGGTTGTGTTTTTTTTTTTAAATGTTTGGCGTCTTAGCTTAAAGATTTCTTTCCCAGAGCGATAGTCCTGAGGGTGTCAATCCTGCTAAATTGTGGTGCTCTTTATCAAGAATTTCATGAATTTCCTTTCACTTTCAGCTTCTCACTGGAATGCTTCTTCCCAGTCATTTTCCCTTCCCTTCTTTTCTGTAGTCTAATCTGCACGTTCCACTGCAGAAGAGCAGTAAGAAATTCTCAGCTGGATATTTTTGCCCCATTTTGGCTCTGAGACCTTGGAGCAGCACCTGAGCGGGTTAAGTTCACTCATCAGGATACAGGGCAGCCAGAACACTTCAAACACCATGAGGCCCAGGTGTAGAGTTTTGTTTTGGTTATTCTAAAATCCAGATCTCTTAAGTTTGCACGTCTCTTGCTTGAGATTACCATATAGGAGGAGAAAAATATACTCTTATTCACACACACCCCACCTCCACCCTCACTCCCTACCCCGCCCCCTCAACACACACACACACACATACACACACACACACGCGTGCACGCGCACACATACACACACACACACACACACAGCCAAATAGATATGAACCACCTCTCCTAGGCAGGCAGAGTAAATGGTTGCCAGCACACCAAAAGACCCTTCTCCTGCCTGTCCCCCTGATAGGAGCCAAACTTTAGGATTCAGACTGGCATGCAAGGGATTCTGGTCTAAAAGAGGTCTCCTACAGAGACAGATCTTGGAGTCAGTGGTTTTAAGTCTTAGCTCCATCACATCAATATCCTTTCCTATAAAAGGGGAATAATAAGAATTATCTTATAAATAGGAAAATATTTGTAAGGCACCTAGCATCCAGTAGCCATTCAATAAATATTAATTTTGTTTTATTCAAAATCTTCCACTTGGATCATCTCATTCGATCTTCACAGAACCCTGCTAGACAAGCAGCATCTTTTTACAGATGGCTAACCTGGTGTTCTGAAACTTGCTCAGTAATAATAAAACTCTTATCATGCTTACTACTTGTCATACATTGTTTTGAACACTTTACATTTAATATTAATATGAAATGGTTACTAAAAGTCTCATTCAATAAATAAGGGAAATTAAGGCAGAGAAAGGCTGAATAACTTGTCCAAGGACAAAGAGATAGCAAACAGAAGAGTTGGGATTGAGACCCAGAGTGTGTGGCTCAAAAAGCAATGTTTTTCATCAGTATGCTTAGGTGCCTCCATGCCCCACTGCTTTTTTAAGTAATGGATTTGACTCACATCTGTGAGTCCAAGTCTAGGGTACTTCACATCCAGAGAAGAAATCCATTAGGCCAAGTTAGCAAAAATAGCACTGAAGGAGACAGCACTAGGTTATCAGATCTGCCAGCCTTGAAAAGAGAACTCTAATGGCAGGGGTTATGTTCAATACCCTAGGGGACTAGGCACAGAATATGACCAGAGTGTCAGCCCACAGAGGAGGGCACACAGAGCTGGTGGCATAGGAACCCTGGTAAAAGGTCTCCCCTGCACCTTTATACTTTGGAGACTTAGGTTTGGGGTAAAGAAATTCTGTTCACAAAGACCCATAAAAGTCCACAGCCCTTGTTCATTCTGTTTTCATGGCACTTAGCACTCTCTACTTTCTGTTACAGTTAGCAATGAATATTTCTGACCTGCTCGTGAAGGAGAAGATCAGGTTTAACTCATTTTATATACCCCATGTGGAGCATTTAGTAGGAGCTTAATAAGTGTGAGTGGGATAAATAAATGATGATAAACAAATGAACATGACCGCACCCCAAAGGGATTTGGAGTTTGCTTTAATTAAGTTTCATTTGTTGCACCACAGTGAGCTAAATCCTATTTTTATGCTTTTTTTTCTGATAGCAAAAAAACATTCGAATGGAGATTCTTTGGGGGAAAAAAAGACAATATTTTCAACTGCTCTCTTAGGGCAACTCTTACAGTCTACCAATTTTCATGTTTTTATTTTTGTACTTATACCCATTTAAAACCACAAATAGTATATAGCTTTTAAAAACTGAATGTTATTTAATAATAGCTATCTACCCACACCTATTAAGATGTTTACTAATGCATAAAAGCCTACGAATTTCAAGCCACAGTGAATTTTAACAGCTTCTGTGTAAGTACGCAGTGAGTGCCATCCTCCTCTCCATCTGAGACGTGTTAGTATTGAAGTATGTTTCTACCTTTTATTCATTAGTGAATATGGCTGTAAATGGCAGCTTGCAACAAACTTCATCTGAAGTTTTGAAGATGAGTTTAACTTTTAACATTTTATTCAATGTGCTGAGGAGGAAAGAACATTTCCTCTACCCTATCAGGTTCGTTTTTGGGGCCCTGTGACTAAACTAACAAAAGATAGGTTAGCAGAAAAAAAGGCACACAATTTTTATTAGTATTTATGTGCACGAGAGTTCACGGAAAAGAAATGAAACTCAAAGGAGCAGTTAGATTCAGAGGCTTATATACCATTTTAACAAAGGGAAAAGGGTTTGAGCTTCAAGGAATGATAGATCGTGGGGACGTGACTAGGAAATATATGGGGGAACTGATGAAAATCTGGGCTATTTTAGTAAGATCTCTACATATAAACTCATCTTGGTGTTGACGACTTTCTGCCTTCTACCTTGACCCTTCTCTCTGGTGGGAGAAGGGGCACCTTCCTCTAAGGGGAATTTATACACTGCTTTTAGGCAGATAAGGGGAGTGTAGAGAACTTAACTGTGGCTGTTGATTCTTCCCCTCAAAACCATCCTTATGCCAAAATGGCATATTTTGAGGTAGCATAGTCTGATCTCCTTCAAATGGAAAGCAAAGAATATTACAGCTGAAATTATTTCACGTGAATTATTTCAAATTTTATTTCTTTTTTACAAGCCTTATTAGTAAGCAGCAGCTGCTTCCTTGTTAAAGAAATCCGTTTTTATAACGTTTTCTGACCTGGCACATGTACTCCTCCTACCTGCTGCATTTCATTGAATTTTTCCTATGTTGTTAAAAGTAATATAAGATTACATAAGGTATATTTACAAAAAAGGGAGGAAAGCAAATCATCCATAATCCTACTGTTAAAGACTATGTTTTTGCATATATTTTTCAATGTTATCTATGCATACCTATATCATATGGGGCACACATGTCAGTAAGTTCTATAACAACATATCACAAACATTCTCCATACTTACTCCCAGTCCTCATTATTTGGCAGCTGTGAAGTTTGCCTGACCATTCTCTAGTTGTCAGACATCTGGGCTGCCTTCCCAGTGGTGGATTGTCCTTCTAGCGGGGAAGAGGGCTGGCCGAGTTGGCCCCTCCTGGCTGGTGGGACCTGGGCCTCCAAGAGCCGCAGGCAGTTCAGTGGTCAAGTCCCAGGCCTCAGCTGAGGACGGGCCACGCAGGGCTTCTGGCTCCAGGCTCCCGCCTTGTTCTCTCTCTCCCCACTCCCAGCCTTAAGGTGGAGTTCCATCCTGCAGGCTTCCCGGGCCAAAACTCCATTCCTAGTCCCGAGTCCTACCCACACAGCAGCCCTGCCGAGAGTGGGTCCCTCCCAGCTACTCTCTCCTTCTGTCCTAGCTATCTGCAGACCCATCCGTGTTCAAAGAAAGGAGCTAGGCCGCTTGCCCTGGGCGTCATGGTCCACCTGCTGTCCTCCGAAGTGCGGCAGCTGCTCCACAACAAATTCGTCGTGGTCCTGGGAGATTCCGTCCAGAGGTCCGTGTACAAGGACCTGGTGCTCCTGTTGCAGAAAGATTGCCTGCTCACTCACAGACAGCTCAAGGTCAAGGGGGAGATGAGCTTTGAACAGGATGAGCTGGTGGTCGGAGGCCAGAAGAGCCCCATGCACAACCGCACCAGCTACCGCGAGGTCCGCCAGTACTGCTCCGGCCACCATCTGGTGCGTTTCTACTTCCTCACGCGCGTCTACAACGAGTATGTCCAGGGCGTCTTGGAAGAGCTGCAGGCCGACAAGCACACCCCGGACGTGGTCATCATTAACTCCTGCCTCTGGGACATCTCCAGGTACGGACAGGACTCCGTTAGGAGCTACCGGGAGAACCTGGAGAACCTGTTCCGGCACCTAGGCCAGGTGCTGCCGGAGTCATGCCTCCTGGTGTGGAACACGGCCATGCCGGTTGGCGAGAAAATCACCGGGGGCTTCCTCCTGCCGGAGCAGCAGTCCTTGGCCCTCCGCCTGAGACTCGGCGTGATTGAAGCCAACTTCTACAGCTCTGCTGAGGCGGGGAAGCACGGGTTCGACGTGTTGGACTTGCATTTCCACTTCCGCCATGCGGAGAAGCACCGGCAGGGAGACGGGGTGCATTGGAACCAATACGCGCACCGACAGCTCTCCCAGCTCCTGCTGGCCCACGTGGCCGATGCCTGGGGTGTGGAGCTCCCCAACCGCGACCCAGTGGGCAAGTGGATCAAGGCAGGCCGTGCGACAGGAGAACCTGGCCTGGGAGTCGAGAGGCAGGCCCAGGCCGGCAGAGATCCACAGGTCTTGCTCCCGACCCCATCGTTGCCTTCCCGTAGGCTGCGCCCCCTGCTCCCGCTCCCAACTCCCCGCCTCCCCCTGCCCCCACTCCTGCCCGCACAGCCCCGACCCATTTCCCCTCACCCAGTGACGTCCCCCCAGTTCTCGTTCTGTCCCCAAGATACCTATTTTTCTTCAGACCATTCTTTCCAGTCAGATCAGTTCTTAAACTATTTCCATTCAGATGTCCCCTCATCTACCCAGACAGGATTTGACTTCGAAGATGACTTTATGTTTAGTCCGCAGCCGCCTAGGCCCTCCTTCCCCACACCTTATCAGCAGTGGGCCCCTGTGGTTCATAGGGGTTTTCCCCGGAATCTACCTCGTGGCCCCTATGTGCCCTGGAGACGGCGACCCAAATCTCACAGGAAGCGGACCCCAGCCCTTCCAGAGCCGAGACCTCATTAGACTGACTGGGGCCTTTTTCCTCTGCATGGATATGGGCTGGACAGATCACCTCACTCTCCCTAAACGGACTGATCTTGTTAACGTAAGCCATTGATTCATACTTGGACTTTTTTTTGTTCTTTGCTGTTACTTGCAACGGCAGAGAAGAGCAGTCTGACCCGATCTTGTTGGCAATGGCCTCTTCCTCTACTCTCTAGGGGTGACCACGTGTTATTCCTGCCTCCCCACTCCCTATTCTCTGTCATTTTGTAAACATAAAATTGAAATAAAGAAGTGGTTTCACAAAAGTATTTGTGGGTTTTGTGTGTGTCTATATTTAATGGTGCCTCTCCTTACCATTAAACAATTGGCTTCATAAGAGCAAGGACAATAGCTGCTGAATGAATAGTCATGGCATCTACTTGGTAAACTACCCAGAATGAATTTGTCTAAAATAATCGAGAGTTTCCACAAATTTGAAAATCATTGTAGCACATTTGAAGCATATTGCCAAAGCAGTATCATGATGACATTCAAGGACTCTAGAAAGGTAGTGACTGCATGTCAGAATTTGCCAGAAGGTCCCAGCAAAGTCAGGAGTGAGATCTCTGAACAATCTAAATGTTCTAATCCGCGGGGGAGACTAGTGCACCAGACTGTGTGATTTGGCGTCATCAGCCTTCAAGATGAGCCAGTTGCCTTCTTTCTGGATTTCCATTTCCCCAGTAAGACGAAAGGAGCATTTAACTGCTGATGTGAGTAAACTGATGCATTTAGTATTTACATTCCTATGAATAAACCAATAAACTGCCGTTTTGGTTTATAGCTCTCTCGTGAGTTAAGTTAATATGTATTATTCCTCCTTAATCTGATCTCCCTTGATGAACCACGGGGAATGAGTTCTTAGATATACAGTGCTGAGGACCTAACACTGAGTCAATGATGACATCACTCTTACAGATTAAATTGCACCAATTGCTTAAAATCCTGTTTCTCACAGATGGGTAGAAGTGCAAGTAGACTCAGACAGGGACAATCTTTTCCTCCCCAGGTATGTCAATTTCCTATGGCTGCTGTAACAAGTAACACAAATTTGGTGGCTTAAAATGACACATATATATCTCTATAGTTGTGAAGCTTCAAAGTCTAAATCCATTACCCTAGAGTACAATTACTATGTCTTACACTGTCCTACATGATCAGGCTTCTGCCTGCCTCTGCAATGTGCATCTTTTTTAAAAAAATATTTTATTGTGGTAAAATACACATAACATAAAATTTAACATCTTAATCACTTTTTTAAGTAAACAGTTCAGTGATATTAAGTACATTCACATTGTTGTGCAACCATAATCTTCTGGAATTCTCTTCATTGCTCCTTATGCTTTCAGTGACATAGGACTTCTTACTGTTCGTAGAACATGCTAAGCTCTTTTATAACTTGGGCCTTTGCACTTGCTATTCCCTATGCCTAGAACGTTCTACATCCCCAACCTGCTAGTTCTTTGGACATGTAATTCTTCATCCTTCCATCCACACCTCCCAAGTCACCTCCTAAGAGGCCTTCCATTGTCATTGAATCAAAAAGTACAGTTCAGGTCTATTACAGCACTCTTTACTTCTTTTGAACTGCAAACCCTGCTCAGCATTGTCTTTAGTAGTTGCTTGTTTGTTAGCCTCTCCAACTAGAATGTAAGCTCTATGAATCTTGGTCATTATTGAATTCTCAGCGGCTACTAGCACAATGCCTGGCAAAGAAGATGTTCAAGTATATTTACTTGAGTTAAATATTCAAGAACATAATTAATTCATATTGTGTACTCAAGTAAGAAAGCAATTTATATTAAAATCGAGCTGTATTTGATTACCTTTCTTAAGAAAAGGTCTACAGAACTCTCCCATAACTTTACCTAAGTCATCCTGGGTGGCTAATGTCCCCTAGACCATCCCACTCCCACTAGGGTAAGAGCCTGATAGCACCTGAGTGGGTGCTTGCATTTAATTTCATACATATCCTGGCCTTTATCTTCCACCTTAGAGCTTTCTTCTTTGCTCATTTTTTCTATTGTCATCCTGCTCCTTAAATCAAGAAACCTAGCAATGCAATCAAGCTATTGTCTGGTAAAAAGAACCAAAATTATTCAAAACTTATGAGAGAAATTATTGCTTTTTTGTTAAGACTTAAAATGCAGGTCTCAAACAGCCTATCCTCCAGCCTCAAAAATGACAGCACTCAGAGTTTTTTATACTTGACTCGTCTCAAGTTTTCTGGAAAAAGAAAAAAAAGAGTGAAACTAAAGATTAAATTGACATTATCCAAGCAGCATAGGTTTCTCACAATTTTCTTTCTATAATAAACTATGTTACACCAAAGGCTGAAACTTTAAAGCTGTAACTATATTTTTTCCATAAGTACAAACAAAGCAAAGCCCAGCACTTGAAAACAAGTGGAATCTGACATGCTGCCATGGGAGCAGAGTCAGCCCCCTCTCCCATGTTACTCATGCAGAGCCCTAGCATTGACTCCAAAGGCAACATTACATTCTAGAGTTGTACGCAGTAGCAGCTCCATCTCTGACAGCTTTGTGTTCATGAATTCTGCAAAGATGAATTGTTTTGAAAACTTAGATAGTTAAAACTCATGTCAGAGAAAGGATTTACTATTGTTTTAAACTATTTTATGTATGTTTCTATAAACTGTAGAAACTATTCTCATCCCTACAACTTCAAGAAAGTCTTCTGTCTCTGTATGCTTAATTTATAGATATATTTTTTCATAAGACTTTATCCACTAATCTTTAAAGAACCATTTTCTAAAACATATCCCTTGAGCCATAATCTTTATTCATGCATTCTATGGGCAAAGATTCATACAAAAGGATTCATTCTACAATTGCCTCATGTGGGAATTCACAATGAGTTTTAATGGATTAGATGCTCTGAGAAGTTCTGCATGAAATAAACTTGATTAAATGTGTTTAACCAAGCATTTCCCAGATTTATTTAACCACAGACCATTTTCATATACAACATCTTTTAAAACATGTTTTGAGAAATATTGTTCTAGAAAATACCAGACAATGTAGTTGGAGTAAGTGAAAAGAAAAGATTTGTTAGTGACATTTTATATTCTAATCCCTCTTTCAATTGATCGTTATAATAATCTGTACCCAAATATGAGCTAATATTCACTAGATAAGCCTGGGACAAGCCTGAGATTTGCTAGTTAACTGAAGTGGGATGAAATGAACAAGGAATGATGGCCCTCTTCCTCTAAGATGGGGAGGCAGGGGTCAGTACACCTTGATTACAAGTATTGGGGCAGGTCCAGTCCAGCCAGCAGAGTGTGGCTTGGAAGGGAGGTATGCCACTCCGGTTGCTTGATACATGGCACAGTGTCAAAGATTATTCCAAGATACATTTCAGTGGAGCATCGTAATGAGAAATAGCGAATAAACAGCATTCTGAAACTGATCGTCGTTCAACACAGCACCCGCTGTCGACACGTCGCAGCTTTGTTAGGAGCAGGACTAAATCTCTAGGAAAGAGCTTGTCCTTGAAGAAAAAGAGCACTAACAGGAGCTGCTGTGGCAGAGCCAGACATCTCCACCAAAGACGCAACACAACCAGGACACGAGGTGTGTGACAGCCAGTCTGGGCTCTGAACTGGCGCCCTTCATCATGCTCAGTGCTGCCTTTCAGACCCAGCTGGTACATGCCTTACTGAGCCTGGCTTCTTATCTTTGCTTCTCACTCCCTTCGTACCTTCACTTCTCACTTTCATGTCTACATAGCATGGACTAAAATTTTTGATCTTATGTTTTGTCTCAGTAATTAATCACATTGATCCTTTTCCTACCTTCTACTCTTCCCTAACTGCACCATGTATTAAGGCAGTGGTCCTCAAACTTCAAGGTGCATCAGAATATCCTGATGGGCTTGTTAAAACACCATTGCTGCTGTCTTCTCCCAGCAATTTCTGATTCAGTAGGTCTACAGCGGGGCCCAGGAATATGCATTTCTAGTAAGTGTCACACTTTGAAAGCTACCAAAGAAAAATGTAAAAAGAATCATGTAATTCTGGTCATATAGACATAACCTAAATTTATAATCATTGTTAATATTTTGCCACATTTTCTTTTTCCTCTTTCTGAAGTAAATTATTTCATAATATTTCACCCCTAAATATTTCAAATGTGAGAAATAAGGACATTTTCCTACATAATGCAAGATAAGTATCGTATCTATCAAAACCAACAAAACTTTTGGGCTATCATCTGATAGACTGAATATTTATATCCCCCCAAAATTCATATGTTGAAATGGTACCCCATAATGTGATGGTAATAAGAGGTGGGACTTTTGGGAGATAATTAGGATTAGATGAGGTCATGAAGGTGGAGCTCTCATGAATGGGATGAGAAACCTTATAATGGTAAAAAGAGAGCTTGCTTCTCTCTGCCCTGCCATCTGAGGATACAATGAGAAGTTAGAAAAAGAGGGCCCTCATCAGAATTCGACCATGCTAACACTCTGCCCTTGGATGTCCAGCCTCCGGAACTGCGAGAAATAAATTTCTATTGCTACTCAGTCTACAGTACTTTATTATAGCAGCCTGAACTGACTAAGACAGACACTCAGTCACAAACATGTTTTCTACAGCCATTCAAATTGGGATCCATTAAAGAATCACACATTGCATTGGTTATTATGTGTCTGAATCTCTTAATCTTGAAGAGAACCCAAAACACACTCTCTTTTTTTCATGACATTGACTCATTGAAAAGATTTGTCCTGTAGAATATTCCACTTTCTGAGTTCATCTAATGATTTCGTCATAATGTCATTTAACTTTAACTTTTTCCCCTGTGTTTTCTATAAAGTGAACATTAGATCCAAAGTTTCGATTAGATGCAAGTTAAACATTTTTGGTAAAATATGTCACAGGTAAGGTGTTGTACAGGAGGTATATAAGCTGGTTTCCCAGTGTTCTATGTTAAGATTGATCACCAAGTACCGGGTGACAGCTGGAAGCCTGCATTTTAAAGTTAGTTTTTCCCATTTGTGACTTGTGTCCTATGGGTGATGCACTGGTACCATGTCAATATTCCAGTTCCTCATCAATCTTTTACTTAATGGCTTTAGCACCCATTGATGATTCTTTCTTGAAACTGCGATTTCATTAAGGGTGGAAAATTGTCGATTTTCTGTTTTTCCATTCCTCGTACATTTCTTAGCTGACATTCTTTTGTAAAGAAGAGACTCTTTTTTTTTTCATCTATGAGAGCTATTGGGTTACTCTGAGATACAT